ATGCAGATGCGTTGTCAACCGTGAGGACTAAGATATAATGCTTCGTTTCCAGTAAAAAGGGTCTCTCGTTCTCTACACTCACCATACGAGACACAGCAGCGTTAAGCTATTTTACACTGGAATTCTGTGAGAGCGTGGTCCTTCCCCGGTCGAGTCGACTCATTCGTGCTACAACTATACCAGTAATACAGCTGCAGCATGGCTCTACCACGTTAAAAAACTTAGTTGACAAACGAATTTATAACCCTCCACCTTATGGTAAGGGGCTGCTGTGTATGGACACCTGCAACCACTTTCAAACAAAGAAGGTTTCTGATGCGTCTCTGAAGCTATTCTGCATGCTAGATGCTACTCTGAAGACTAAGACGGAATGTGTCACAGCCTGTAATTACATTGATTCTCTATATTCTTCCGACAGGAACACAATAATGCAAGCACTACTATTTGGCCATAGATATTAGGTATCCTAGTCAGGAAAGAAATCCTACCATCGAATATAGTACGTGAGTGTAATAAGGTCATCCGGCTAATATGGTCATATGGTTAATATGGTTTCATATAACTCAAAAACTACAGCCTTGTTTACATAGGTGGCTCTGTGATACGACAGCTATTCATCAGTCATTCAAATAATAAAGGGTCAAAACGGCGCTGCTTTATCGACACCATTTTGACAGTTGACTTTTATATTTTTATAGTTTAGTCGTTTTTAGTATTGTGCAGTGTAGTTAGTTTTTTTTAAGTTGATTTTTTGAAGTGTTCCTAATTATTGCCAAAGCTTATTTGCTATTATTTTCTTATGAAACAATTTATAGTATACGACTTTATGTTTTTGTTTCTGTTTTCCTTCTAGTTTTGGTTTAATAGGGCGGCAAAGCTTAAGGTGGCCATGTACTCACGTACCTTAGTCATAATCATCTCCATTATCCCCTCTGCAATGAGATGAGCCTGTGTCATATCATGAAACTTATATTTTTAGGACGCGTTAAGCGAGCGTTTTGGTAGGGGAAAAACTTATGGGTTCGCGTCACCGATGACCTCGACATGCTCGTGACGTATATTGTATAGCGGCCTGTCTACATGTATACAGATATATATATATATATATATATATATATATATATATATATATATATATATATATATATATTTGAGTTTTCACTTCTGTCGACAGTCCTTATGACTACTGCAGCCTGGCTTTACCACGTTTATATATATAGCTTGAATAATTTTATATTAAAGCGTAAAATTAGCTAGATTTATTACATAACGTTTTTATAGACCAATTAACATATAAATATTCCTCGCCGCAACTGTTATTTGAATAAAAATTCGTAATGAAAAAGTATATTATATGAGTAATCAAATATCGTAAATATACAAGGAAACGTAATAAATACAATAATTGCACGCAGCGAATTATTTTGTGGTAGATCCACGGTGCAACTATGCTAGATATATAACGAATGGTCATCTAGCTTCAAGGAATAATTATAAAAAAAGAATTAGCGAAATCGGTTCAGCTGCTCACAAGATTTGCGCTTAGCAACACATTCAGCGATTCATTTTTATATTATAGATATAAAAGAACGTGTCATAATCACCCTTTGAAAAATATTATCATATTGAAATAAATAGTACAACGTTATAGTTGCCCATACACTGTTTCACACAAGTAGTTCTCAGGAGGGGGGGGGGGGGGGGGGGGGTGTTATAGGCACGCAGGTTATCAGACCACGTTTGAAATGGAAAATTGTGAAACATGGCGAAACCATCACCTACTCAGACACAAACCCGATATAATAGAATATTTTTTATTCAGTATAGATATTAATTATTAGAATAATTGTATTTTAAGTAATTTTTTACTTTTTACTATTTGAACAAATTAATTATGTGTTACAACACTAAATAAAACATTCATTTACGTTCATACTGCCAATATCTAGTAACCGGAACTAGCGCCACCTTTCTAAAATTGAAACACGAATTTATTATTTAAGGCAGAAAAATTAACGCTTTTCAACACTAGATGGCGGTAACTTAATAAATGTACTTGATTTTTTTTACTCCAGTTAGATGGCAGCAGATGCACTTATATAAACTATTATTAGTGGCCTTTAATCATCAACCCATTCCTTTATTCATTCTGTTAGCATGATTAGTAAATGACAGGGACTTACTGTAACCATCATTTAGTAGCTTGCGTAAAACCTTAGCGTAAAAACATTGAAATGTTTTTTTTTTTAATGTAAAATAAGGGTGAGAAACAAACACACAGATGGTAAGTGGGCGCTGCGGCCCCATACACATCTACGTTTATCCTCAATTAAGAAACTAAATGCAGATGCATTGTCATTTGCAATCTCTGATGACTAAGATTGAATGCCTCGTTTCTACTAAAAAGTTTCTCCAGTTCTTTACATTCACCATACAAAACATAGTAGCCATAAAGCCTTCGTGCTACAACTAATATAGCTGCAGCTATATTAGTCTAGCACATATATTAGATATAGATTTACAATAGTTTGTAAAACAGTCGATATTCCAGAAGGTCAACGATTTTTTTTTATAAAACTGAAGTGATCTACGAACTTACAATTAATATTAATATACCAAATTTTTTGTATGGAACATTATTTATGCTTATTTGCAATGAATTTAATAATACTTTTACTTCTAAAACATTCTCCTTGAACAGCCGGAAGTCATTCAATGAATGGGCGACAGTATAACCTATGCCTACTCTTATGGACTCCTGTCCATAAGAGCAGGCATAGGTTATAAGATCTTTACCATGAAAGGTCATATAATCATAGCGTCGAATTTAGGGAATATGTAAAAACATATTCAAAAATATTTAAAAGTGTGCTCCATAGCCCAGTCTTAGTATTTGAGCTACAAAATTAAGACGGCTTCCAATAAAATTAAAATGACATGGAGTATAATTAATAGCGAAACTGGTAAGATCAACTCTCGAAATTCAAATTACCAGTTAAGTGTTAACAACAAATTAACTGTATCAGATCAGGACGTAGCAATGGTTTTTGAGAAACTTAAACAAAATGTAAATGCGTGTACAAAGAATTTTACATTTCATAAAGTGTCATCAAAAGATATTGTAAAATATTTTAAAAATATTGATGTTAAGAAAATTACGGATCTGTGGGGGATTTCCGTTAAAGTTATTGCGTCTATAATAGATACAATCGCGCCTCATTTAGCTATTATTTTTAATACTAGTATCGAATCTGGTGTGTTTCCTGATTTAATGAAGCATAGTAAAGTAATACGTTTATTTAAATCTGGTAGTACATTAGACCCCGCCAATTTTAGACCTATTTCTGTACTACCAACACTTAGTAAAATTTTTGAAAAATTGTTCTTGATCAAATGTTAAATTTTTTTAATATAAATAATTTACTTCATAAAATCAATTTGGTTTCACAAGGGGTCGCTCGACAACTGATGCCGGTGTTGAGCTGATTAAATATATCTTTAATGAATGAGAGAATTCACAGGATGCTTTGGGTATATTTTGTGACCTATCCAAGGCCTTCGATTGTGGTCACCATGAAACATTAATCAGGAAACTTCAACACTACGGTGTAAAGAAGTGATGCTCTTAAATTAATTATTTCATATTTAAGTAAGAGAACGCAAAAAGTTGTCATTAACAAATGAGCTCTTCCGGATCGATGGTACAAATGGGCGTGCCTCAAGGTTCAATTCTCGGCCCCTTTCTGTTTCTTGTATACATTAATGACTTACCTTACATAGTAGGAGATAACTATGATATAATATTATTTGCAGATGACACTTCTTTAATTTTCAAATTAAATCGACAATTACTAAAATATGACGAAGTAAATAATGCTATATCTAAATTAGTAAATTGGTTCAATGTTACTAATTTGCATTTAAATGGCACTAAAACAAAATGTATGAAATTCATGACTCCAAATGTCAAACAATTAAATACTAATGTAATTTTAAATGGGGAGAAACTGAGTCTTGTAGATACCACCATTTTTCTTGGAATCACACTAGACGCGAAGCTTCAATGGAGCTCCCAAAATATCAAAACTAGACTTAGTTCTGCAGCATATGCTGTAAAAAAGATTAGAAGTCTAACCAGTGTTGAAACAGCTAGACTAGTTTACTTTAGCTATTTCCATAGCATAATGTCGTATGGTAGTTTGCTATGGGGACACGCAGCTGACACTGAAATTATATTTGTTTTACAGAAGAGGGCCATAAGAGCAATTTACGATTTAAAGCCTAAAGAGTCGCTGCGACAAAAATTTAAGGAAATTAATATATTAACTTTGGCCTCTCTATACATTTATGTAATGTACGTACACAAAAATAAAAGTAGTTTTACAAAAATAAGTGATATTCATTCTGTAAATACTAGGAACAGATACAAGCTAGTAGCACCAGTTACTCGACTCCATTGAGTCAGTAATTCATTCTTGGGGCGATGTATACGCTTTTACAACAAAATTCCAGAAAATATACAAAGTTTGACCTGCTCAAAGTTCAAAAACTTTATTAAATTTAGTTTGTATAAAAAGGGTTATTAGAATATTAAGGAATTTATGGATGATAATAACCCCTGGAAATGAGGTGATCGCTACCAAGCTATTTCTAATTTGTTGTGTTGTTAATTTATGTAACATCATGATTGTAAGCTGTTATTTTAAAAAAAAGTCCCGCTGGGATTCTTGCTGGTTCTTCCCAGGACAGAGTTTTTTTTCCGAACTAGTGGTAATCAAACAAAAGAGTGACTTTCAATAAGTATTATTCATAATCTATATTAAATTAAAAAAAAACGTTTCTGTTTCTGTTCTGTATATGATGTGTGCGTACTGCAGTCCTTGAACAAATTATTTACATAATTAAAATAGATTACTGTCTTAAAAATAGAAAATTTATTTATATAATCTTATGATCTAACTTATGATAAATTATAACAAATGGAAATTAATTCAATTAATCTAGAAGGCCAATTTCTTCATGAGAAGGTACATGTGTTGGTCTACTTCAAATCCATGTAAATTGTTGGCATCGCCCTGCAGTCTCATAAGGAGTCCACCAAATGACACATATGCTGCTAACCTTGATGCTGGTTCCATAGCTACTTCATCACCTTCTATCCTGGAACCATTTAAAAATAAAATTTGGTTAAAATCTATAATGGCGAGATACACCATTTTTACAATATTGTAGTGACAAATGAACCTACCTCCAAGGAAGTAACTAACCTCAATTTCAAACAAGGAAGGCTACAGGTACGTTGTCACCTCTGAGGACTAAGATGGAATGCCTCACAGTCTGCAATTATAATGGCTTTCTATTCCCTTTTTTCTATCCCCTTAAATCGGAACAGCAATGCAAGCACTGCTGCTTGATAGCAGATAAAGGCAAGGTGCTACCTACTACTGAACTTTTAAGCAGGAAAGGAGTTCTAGAATGGCAAGTACAAATGAAAGTGACGCATTGTGCTATTTCAACAAATTAAGGTACGTTCACGAATAGTTGTTGTTGCGGACGGTGAGGAAGCGGCCTCCCACATCACCCCGCGTTCGACGACATCACGCCATATGTCGTGAACAATCACCGCGATCAGAGTGATCGTGAGAATATATCGGCCGTGAGACACTCGCCGTGAGAATAAATGGCAGGCATTTGAAAAGACAGAAGAGAATCAAGAACTGCAGAAAACATCAAGAATTAGAGGAATAAGAAGAGAAGAAGGCCCTTCTTAGTGCAAATAGAATAGATAATTACAATGGTGGATAGTAACCTTGTTGTAAATACAAATACAATAATAGTTAACATTTCCTTAGCTATATAAATTTATGTTTTTATTGTTAACATTACGGTGTTTGGAAGAGGTTGGAGAAATACACCACCTCAAACTGTCCAATAGCCAAATTTTTCCTTAACCTTTACATTGTCTGGAAGAGATCGCTCTTTAGCAATAAGACCACTTTATTGTACACCTAAAATGTTCTTCCTATAACAGTGCTTTTTGTGTTGTGTGATAAAGTATATACAACAACAAACTGTCTGTTTTTACAGTCTCTTTATTGTTATTTAAAAGTTATCTGAAGTTTATTGTATATTATTGAATTTAATTATACAATAAACTTTGGATAACTTCACAATATATTACATTTATGTTACATTTTTACTAAAATAAGCAGTGGCGGATTATCCTTAAGGCAAACTTGACACGTGGGCACCTAGTGGCACTAGGGGCACAAGGTTATAAAAGGGTGGGCATGGATTTTTTAATTAAAAAAATAAATAAGCAATACTTGCATAAAATAAAAAACATTATACATTCTATAGAGAAATAGAGCTCCACAGGGTATACCCAAAGTGTGACCCATCTACTTAAATACTTCTGCATTACCCTCAATCTCATTACATTTTTCATTCACGCCCACCTTTTACTTGTGCTAATTATTAGTGTGCTTGTGCCACACCAAACTATATTATAAATTATAATATAGTTTGGTATGGTTTAGTTTTAACTAGTTATAGTTTGCAAAATAAGTAGATATAATTTATAAATAATATATGGCATAAAATATAGCCCACTAGGCGCCGATGAGAGGCTAGCCTAGGCCACTGTTGACATTTAAACCGCCACTGAAAATGAGGTGATTATCATATTTCACATATTTTTCATATATCATTTTATAAGACTACCTGCAATTATAGGATGAGAAATAGTATAAGATAAAAGTATGGTTTGCAAGTGGTAAGGGTTGGATTTAGAATCGTTTGGCATGAATTTGGCAGAGTAAGGTGTTTTATTTGGTAGAGATGTGGTCCCCAATCATAATAATACCACTCACATTAAAAGGTAATGCACTGTTATCGAAAAAATAAATAAAACCTATTATGCGTAAAATATGGAAAAATTACTGTAAAACCTGGATAGCATACAGAATTTTGTGTAAGTGCGACAAGGAGGTAAGACTACTGTCACATTATTCTACTGTCTATACTCTCTGCCAAGAGATATTTCGCTAAAGACATCTATAATAATAGAGAAAATTTTAACGACTTGATATATGAATATTTATGGAGAAGAGAAATTATAAGTAATAAAAGAGATCCTTTTGAGGAATTGATAAAAAAAAATGTTTACAGACAATAAAGAAATGATTATAATATACTGTTTTATTTCTGAATTATTTAGAACTGCCCAGAAATACTTGAACACCCACAAATAATTTCAGTTGTAATAGGTTAGAAGGTTGTGGCGGGAGCGAAGCCAACCTGATTTTATAGATAAGATATTTGATCTGATCAAATCTGTACTAAAATTAAAACAGCACGCTCCGACTCCACGTAGTCTTGTCTCCCTTACTCCTAGTGTTTTTGTAAAGCCGTAGGCGTGGAGGCAGAGCAGCCCCTGCCTGCTGTAGCAAATCGCAGGCACCTGTGCGAACCGTAGCGGCTGAGGCTGGTCGACCAATAAGCCGAAGTGAGCATGGGTGCCTGTGATTCGCTACGCAAGGGCTGCAGTTCCCGCAGCGCCGAAGCCGTTATAGAAGTAACTTTGGGTCAATATTCCGGTACGACTTTCCATTGACTTCCATCGATTTGGGGGTTGATACGTATTTTTACACTATTATAAGCTACACTATTATAAGCACACACACAAAGTTACAATATGAGGAAGCGCGTAATTTTTGAGAAAAAAGTTATTGAAAATCAATTATTCTTGCATTGGTTATGTCTAATCCTACAATAAAACTGACGCCATTTTTTTATTGTTATTATCAGTAGGGATGTCGATTCTTTCCGATTTTTAGATTCGAATTGTAAGCTGATGTATCGATTCCCAAAAAATCAATTTCTAAAATATCTATATTTTTTTCATGTTTGCATTTATAATGTAAATATAAATCCATTCTATGAGAAAAAAGTCCCCTTCTTCATAAAATATAGGGGGATTGATTCAGAAGGATTTCTGTATCTATTTTGAGACTGCTATGTCTCCGGCGCTGCGGGAAGAGCAGCCTCTATGCCTTAGCGTAACAAATCGCAGGCATCCCTCCTCTCCTCCGCAGCTTCGTGTGGCGGCGCTGTCGTCGCGCCACAAGCGAAACACATCGAAGCCTAAATCGCACTAACAAAGTTCCGAAGTTAAATCAGCATATATAGAATAGCTCCGAACTACCAATTGGAACGCTGGCCGCTCCCCGGGCAGAACACCTTGCCCGGTGGGAGATCTCCCCTTTTCCTTCCACCGGCTACAGTGGTGACCAACCGACGTGATATGAACACGCAACCAATAACCTTCGGAAAATACAACTTCAAAAACCTTTGTCATCGTCCTCAAGTACCCCATTCATTCGCTCCCGAGCAGATATTGTCTGTAGTCTTCCCATTCTGCAAGCCATCTAGCTTTACAAAGGTTCATCGCAGCACTGGAATAATAATGCTTCCTGTTCCTTCAAGCTACTCACTGTGCTACAGTGTTCGGCACTGCTCTGAGCCTTACTGCTCGCCTCTGCTTCATGGCACTCTCGCAGATTACTTGCCTTCTTCTCGACTCACCGCAGACTTACTAGGCAAATCCCTGGCACTTGCAAATTCGTCAACATCTAGACTGCACTATCGACCTCTGGTCTGAGCAGGGGGGTGATGTGGCGGCGCTGTCGTCGCGCCACAAGCGAAACACATGGAAGCCTAAATCGCACTAACAAAGTTCGGAAGTTAAATCATCATATATAGAAGAGCTCCGAACTACCAATTGGAGCACTGGCCGCTCCGACTCATCCGCGATGCCTACGATTTGTTACAGCATGCGGAGGCTGCTAACCCTATGCGCCTCCGGCTCTTTAAAACCACTCTAGGGGTAGGACAGACTCGTACCAGGTGGAGTCGGGGTCAATCAATTCGGTTCTTTGACATAAGTTGAACCTAACCTATTTTATTTGTTATCTGCCCTAATTGGTACTGTTAAAATAAAACAAAATTCAATAAGAGATCATTTATTATGGTATCTTTCTTGTTTTTCATAAAATGGAATTATATTTACATTATAAATGTAAACATAAAAAAATATAGATATTTTAGAAATCGATTTTTTATGAATCGATACATCAGCTTACGATTTGAATCGATTTAAAAATCGACCTTTTTCGGAAAGAATCGACATCCCTACTGACGACAATGACATTACAAAATGGCGTCTATTTTATGGTAGAATTAGATATAAACAATGCAAGAATAATTGATTTTCAATAACTTTTTTCTCATAAATTACACGTTTCCACATGTTGTAACTTTGTGTGTGTGCTTATAATAGTGTAATTTTTCTGTAAAAATAAGTATCAACCCCCAACTCGACGGGAGTCAATGGAAAGCTAAGCCTAAATGTTGATTTTCTTTTTGATTTTTCTCAAGAACGGTGTATTACCTTTTAATAGGAGTGGTGTCGGGAGTAAGGGGACGCTCCCCCCCCCTTCCCCTCCCCTCAGCCCCTGCCCCCTCCTCCTACTAAACAATTCTGAATTTCAACCATTGGTAATATGGACATGAAAAAAAAAAAAATTTCTGCTATTAAAGTGAGTGATGGCAAGAAACCCTAGATCGAAGTTTATTAACCATATTGGTATTAAATGGGAAATGAGCTAAATTAAGAGTACCCCTAACCAACAAGCATGTATGTGTATATGTATAGGACCATATCAAATGGAAGTGTGTAGTCTCTGTCTACCCTCTGAGTGACAGGTGTGAGCTTTTATGTACGTTTGTATATACGATTACCCGTGAAGTAAATAGAAAAATAGATGTCTTAAATACAAAAAAATAACGAAGATTTAACAAAAAAAACTAACCTATAAACTTTTCCAGACATAACATATTCAAAACTGTCTGCTCTATTTCCCTCGGTTTCTAGTGGGTTCCATTCCCCACCATCTGGGTAGCCATTCTCTCGGAGTGTTGTCGCCAACACCAACCTAAATTTATCACCAAGCTCCATAGGATATATCCAAGAGTTAATATCTAATATTAAGTCCATTTTGAAAGATTCAGATTCACAATGTAATCGACTGACACGATCAAATTTCTTTCCCTCAGGATCCATATCTTTTACATTAAATATGTCTTCAAATAACACACCCGCCATTATTACCCCTTCTTATTAAAAACAAAAATAAATACACCACACTGTTTCAAGCGTGATTGTTGAGGTTGAGTTCCTTCTATAACATAAGCTTTCCGTATATACCACGAATATAATACACTCTTATCTATGACATAAGCACATTGACAAAGACAAATGACAATTGGCAACGGTTTGACTTGACACCATAGATAAATATATATGTAGACACTGTCATTACTGACTTTTTTTTGGAGTTTATGGCCTGGTATGGTAGCGTAGATAGAGGATTGACTAGATAAAGCCTTATTCGCGTATGCTTTTGAGATAGAAATAGGCGGGAGGTACTTTCACTGGGTTACCAGATATTTTTCCATTTCCCCCGTTATGGGTTTATTTATATTCACAGCACTTACATTTATACAAAAAACTTAATTGTTACCATAAAAAAAATGTTCTTTTATAATTCAGATGATTAATTCATTTCTCTTGAAAATACATTCTGTGACTAAAAACTACGGCCGGAAACGGCGTAAAAACAGAATCATCATTCTGTATTCAACGGTGCATCGACGATTTTACTGGACATTCAATAAACTCTTTGGATTTCGACGGCACTAAGTGAAGACGCTACTAGCACAAAGTGTGATATCGCTAATAAATAACAATATGTTATGTATGTACTTAAATATTAATTGAGAATAAAAATATTAAATAATAAACAAAAATTTGCTTGTGTCGAGTTTTGTTGTTTTTACAAAAAAAATCTATCAAAATCAAAAAAATCAAAAAAAAAAATCAAAAATCTTTATTTCATTAACTTAAGTCTAAAAATACAAGTTTTCTATGTTTGGAGATTCCTTTTAAGCTAAATAAATTGCTTGTTTTAGGAAACTCCGCTCTTCCAAAAACACTTTTACAACATATATTTAGACTACTATGTTAATGAACTGAAAGACTACATACTAATTATTTAAATAAGATATGCATGCAATTTTTACTCTTGTGTGATTTTTACTCGTGTGTGTGTGTGTGTGTGTGTGTGTGTGTGTGTGTGTGTGTGTGTGTGCGCGCGTGTGTGTGTGTGTGCGTATGTGCGTGTGTGTGTGTGTGTGTGGTGTTTCTATACTATGTGCGGATGTAATTCTATGTTTAAAACCTAATCATGCTCTCTACTTCCTCATAAGTTAGTGGCTTAAGCCAATTTAGGACCAGATCCTTGCATTGAAAAGTTGTTTTGGTATAGATATTAAGTGCTTTGTTGGCCTTATTATATAGTTGACATGACAGGTTTGCGTGTTGTTGTCTAGCAAAAAATGTTTTACATGTTTGCATTTTAGCTACTGAGTCAATCCTTCTTCTGGTGAGTATAGAAGTGTCAAGTGGGAGAGATTTGTGTTTTTTAACAACAGTATGCAGGATATATAATTTACGTAATGACAACATATCTGCTACGGCATAGAGTGCTTAATCAATAATGTTTTAACATACCATTCCATCAAAAGTTCAGTGCTGAGCACAGACCTACGAAAGGAAAGGGTTTCCACTTAGGTTTTGTAGTACAAAACACGGTTATGAGCCTACTCCCGCGATTTCCTGCATGTTTTGCTAAGTTAGTGTCTTGTGTGCGACAAGTTGTGGCATACAAAAGAATTTGTCTGTACACGGGATGATATTACCCCGCGTCGTAAGCAATAATACAAGATGAGGATGGGGCAGCAGCACTTTCCCGATGTAAACTTAAAATAATAAAAAACTGCGGCGGCCAACCAGCATAACGCATATTTTCACGCAGGCGTGGCATCTATGGCAAAAGTCATCCTATGAGGATATCTATGGAAGGCCTTTTTAGGTGGTTAGGTGGCTTAATCATGTTACCTAATGGTTAAGGTGGTAAAATGTTTTAGTTAATATATGTTGTAAAGCATCAACAAAGGGTTTGTTTTTGTAATATGTTGGTATATAAAATAAAAACGAATGTTTTATATTATTCTATTTTAATTTACCATGCAGTGTAAGATTATCTGCTACCTCATATCATTCCATGGGTGGTGTATAAGGCGACATAGGGAAACATCAAAGAAGATAAACAGCAGCATTGTCCTGATAACAGCTAAATAAATAAAAAAAAAAACAGTGGTTGACAACCCGCTTTCCAAGCGTTGAAACTATGCGAAATAACTATAATCATGTTTACGTTCAACAGTGGACTTTTGATAGACTGTTAAGATATATATTCTATTTAAATGAAAATATATTAAAATTTAAAAAGGAAAAAGAACTCTATTTTGTGTACTTACATAACATTTAGAAATATTAACAATGTTACATTAAGTAAAACAAATGAAAACACAATTATATATTAAATATAATTCAATAAAATTAAAATAAACGATTATTTATTAATTTTTCATCACATTAATAAACAACAAATTTAACAAAATTTTTGTCTTCCTTCTAGAGCATTCGTTGTAATTCTTGGTTTGAGTAGCTTTAGAATTTATGCCTTGAATATAATATATTTTAATGGTATAAATAATAAGGTACAACTCCTAAACTATACTTAGACAGGTAATACTTATCTCTTGTTAAAAACATCTTTATTACATTACTAGCTCTACCCCGCGACTTCGCCCGCGTGTAATCTAGGGTTTTTATTATATTGCGCGGAAACCTAATTATTTTTCTAAAATATAAGTAGCCTATGTTACTCCTTGTAACATCAGCTATCTGTCAGTGAAATTCACGTCAAAATCTGTCCAGCCGTTTCGGAGATTAGTGGGAACAAACAGACAGACAGACAGACAAAAATTTTAAAAATTATGTTTTTGTTGTACGTACTGTGTATACTTTCATATGCATTTAGTAAAAAGCTGTTATTTTGACATTACAAACAGACACTTCAATTTTATTTATTTGTATAGATTTATGACAATTAAATAGAAATTATCATAATTATTACATTTATTTCTTAATTTATTTACACATTATTGTTTATAACACCTTTATAAAAGGGATTAAGGGTGGACTAAATATCCCATTGGTAGGCATTCCCAGTCAGTTTTACAATTATTATTGCATAATAAATTATTCATTTGTATATTTAGGTCAGGACTTTAAATTATTTATTTATTTCTTTTATTTAAATCTTTATTTGCAAAACAACATGGTAGTACAGATAAAGTTCCAACATTTGTAAATGAGGATTCATGTTTAATCAATACATCTATAAGTAAATATTTTGTCATTGTCATGCCACCCAATTATTACAAGTCATAATAATACAGAATGTCAGCATTTGAAAATAAAATAAGCAATGCTAGTCAATTTTTAATACACACAGAACAATGTCAGAAATCATAACTACCAACAAGGTCAAACTTATATCACTTATGGAGAAACAACAAGAATTACATAAGTTAAGCATATTTAGTCCATCTAAAACGAGGCTCAAAATGTTTTGAGCTTACACTGCTAAGTTTTGTTCGTTACCTATAATCACTACCAGTAGTGATTATCCAACACTTACGGATAGCTGGTTCCTTAGGAAAGCTGTGAAATAATATATTTAACAGAAATTAATATATTAAATATATAGTACACTTTTCTATCAAGGTATTTAACAAAAAAAATCAAGTATGTGTATCTGTGCATAAATACAATACCTCTAACAATTAATACAATATCAATTGATTTAATTAAATAGCAAGTATATGTAAATGTAATGATAATATTATTCATACCAAACATTTAAAAAAATTATGTACATATTAAGCTTTAGATATTGTTAATTAATACATTTACAGCCTAACAAATGTCCTCCACAGCTGAACATAGACCTCCCACACAGTTAGTCTCCAAATAACTGCACTTGCCAATTCTCCTGCCAAGCTAGGCAACTATTACAAAACCTATAACTTTTGACTTTTGATACTAACTAATGGTAACGGTAAGTATATTATCATCAAATTTTTTCTACATCATTAATTGAGAATATTATCTCATGTTGTTGTGTTATTGTGTAGGTACCTTAAGATTAAGACTTATTTATTTATTTATTATTTTATCTATATTTATATTTATTTTTATATTCGATGACATATGTTTTTTTTAATAAATATTGTAATGTAATTGTTGCTAATGTATAATAGAATTAATGGAATGCAATAAAGTTTTGTGCATCTGATTTCAGGCAATACATATTTTGTGAAATTAAATATACTTTGCCCAATATTTATGTACTTGAATCCAAACGTGTTTTCAGGTTAATACTTATACGAGGGTGGATTGAAAAGTACTCGGCCTAACCAAGAAAATAAACAAATACTAAATCAGTTATATTTTTATTTTTCTACATAATCACCATCAAGTTCAATACACTTTTGCCACCTCCCCTTCCAAGCATTTAGACCGTTGAAAAAAAATGATTCTTCCTTAGAGTCAAAATATGCGTCTACAGCTGCTTTGACCTCGTCGTTTATCGAAAATCTTTGACCTCCCAAGTGCTTTTTTAGGTTAGGGAACAGAAAGAAGTCTGATGGTGCCAGATCAGGTGAATACGGCGGATGCGGTAACAGTTCAAAGCCACAGTTGTGAATTTCAGCCATTGACTGTACTGACGTGTGAACACAGGCGTTATCTTGATGAAACAGGACTTTTCTTCTGAGCATTCCTCGACGTTTTTCTTTTATTTCCTCTCGTAAACGACGTAGTAAGGTGCAGTAGTAATCAGAGTTTATATTCTGACCCCTTTCAAGATAATCAATCATAATCACACCTTTCGAGTCCCAGAATACTGAAGCCATCACCTTATTTGCCGACAAAATCGACTTAGCCTTTTTAGGGGGTGGTGAACCAGGTCTTCTCCACTGTTTAGATTGTTGTTTTGTTTCCGGTGTACAGTAATGAACCCATGTTTCGTCCATAGTAACAAAACGATTCAAAAAATCATCTGCATCGGCTTCAAATAACTCCAAACAGTCGCGTGAAATAGTCAATCGCGTCCTTTTTTGTTCAACTGAAAG